GCGGCAGCGGTTATGAGGTTGGCCCAGGATCGGACATTGTTTCGTTCTGCTGTGCATGGGGTCACTATGAGTCAGTTCTGACTCAATGGCACCTGATAACCTAAGAAAAACAATTTTCAGTTAAGGGAGACTCCCATCTTGGCCCAATAAAGATGATGTCAAGATGAGGAAGGTGAAGGGTAATTTGATTGAAAGCATGAAAGCAAGGAGCTCAGAGGTATACCTCAGATGCTGTTGTTATTAAATGCATTATTGTCGGTTTTGACTCCCAGCAACTCTGTACAAGGTTTCCAACGAGTGGCTGAAAGGTTTGAACTATGAACATTATGGTTAGCAGTTCATTGCTTATCATACAGCATAATACCAGGACTCCAGTTAGAGTTTCTCAAATAGCAAGTTACTTTCATTTTTATGCACTTTCTAACAAGGAAGTTATATATATATATATATAAAAATATATATATAATTCTAAGGACCATGTTTTCATTTTATGAGCTAATTAACATAAATGAAGATACAATGGAGGATGGAGGGAGAAGTGTCATGGCAAAAAAGATGTTTTTTGGCCTGTGACATCCAAACCTTACTATCAGACACACATTTTCTTACTGTGCTTGTACAACTGAACGGAAGCCATTTTAGCCCTTTCTTGTTGGCTTTATTTAGTTATTATCTCAAGCTGCCTTCTGTTATTTTGGCATATTTTCTTGTTCCACAAAGGGGGAGGAGAGTTGAAAATTACTTAGTATTGCGAGGAACAGGAGGAGGGAGATCCAAATGAAGTGGCCTCACTATATTGCTTCTTTGTATACATGTGTATATATATATATCCTCTTTGCAGCTCCCTAGCTATTTCATTTTTGAAAATCTAGATGTCATCTTCATGGTCAAGTTTTCACAGACCTTTCTGCCACGATGCTGCAGAACAAATGGCACTACTCAGAATTATAAAAGTTGCCTGTCCTTACATAAGACCATGTTTTCACACTATTATATCTATCCAACTATCTGTTCACTTCTGCACTTTTCTGTATCACTAGTAACTTTTTTTGGCAGGGAATGCAGAAGGAGCAAAAGATACTATTATCTTTGCCTGTTTCCAAATGCTAAACCATTATGAAACAAATTAAAATCCTTTACATTGGACCAAAACAGACCATCTTCTTCTTGGTCCTTACTCATCAGATAGGTCCACCTGCCTGTCTCTAACTTTGATTCTCTAGAAACAGAAAATTTAAATGTTTGGCTTCAACTAAATAAAAGAAGTCATATTCCCTTTTAAAGTGGTCACTTTTTTCACTCACCAGAATAATAAGGTAAAGTCTCTGTTTTGAAGCTGTATGTGCAATTCAATGTAGCCAAATGTGTCAAATATCGTGTGTGTTGTTGTTAAGTGCCCTCGAGTCAGTTCCGACTCATAGGGACCCTGTATGGAGCTTCCAAAGAGGTTCTGGCAAGCCAAATTTTGAACATCAGGAACTATTCCCTGGATCTGTTACTTTGTTGGTGTTATTGTTAAATTCCTTCAAGGTTCCTACCTCAGAACAATCCTGTATAGGGTTTCCAAGGCTTTTAAATTTTTGCTGGAACCAAAAAAGCCTTATCTTTCTCCCATGCAGCAGTTGACAGGCTCAAATCATGGACATTGCTCTTTACAACCCACTGTGTATCAGTGCTTAAGTATTGATAACTTATTTGATGATGATAACAAAACCAAAAAACAAGCAAAATTTGAATGGGAAGGGAATGATTTTTACAAAGAAGCTTGTGGCTGACTAAACTTGGCCATTGCATTGAACAATCTTGAGAGTAGCATTGGCAGATTTAGCAAATAAAATTATAGGTCACCAAATAGTGCATGAGGAACACTTATATTAAAAGTTCATCTGCATTTTATCTGGTATTCATATTTCACAGTATTTCTGCAGAAAAAAAGATGTGTAAGTATATTTAACTTCTTACCTCTGTTCTCACTGTTTCTTAATCTGGTTTTCTTCTTGTCACAGAATGGAAACTATAGGACTATATCTTTCAAGATACTTTGCAGCCATACTCCTTCTTCTGATGGTTACTCCAAGTTTGGGTATGAATCTTTCCCCTGTCTTTATGAGTCTGGAAAATTTTAACTGTATCCAAAAATAACAAGGAAGAAGCAACAGTGACAAGTCCTTTTGACCATTGCTCCTCAGATTTGATCTATTGTTTATATTGCTTAATGAGTAGGAATTGTAGGATCCAGTTTATGGTTAGGAAAAAGTATTTGTAATCAATCAATCTTCTTTAGCATGTACCAAGATTGGGCTACATTCTAAGGATAAGAAAGAAATGAAGAGCATATAAGTGTTTGAGAACCTAACATTCATATTGAGGAGCATGATTTATGTACTCTTCTGCAGTGAGAAAGTCTCTGAGATGTGTATCCATATTGGAATGCATATTAAAACATATAGTAAAAGGAGGCTTTTGGCATTCTGACTCATGCTTTTAGCCTTTTGTTGCTCTCTCGTTTCTCAGAACAGTTCATAGTGACTACTCCAGCGGAATCAATCTTGGCTCCATTAGGTGGAGTAGTTGAGCTCAGCTGCCAGCTATCCCCACCACAGAGTGCAGAACACATGGAGGTGCGCTGGTTCCGGGATCGTTACACACAGCCTGTTCACCTGTACAGGAATGGTAAAGATGTGTATGGAGAAACGATCTCCGAATATGTGGAGCGAACAGAGTTCCTGAAAGAAGCCATTGGAGAGGGTAAAGTGACTCTCAGGATCCTTAAAGTCAGTGTAGATGATGATGGGCAATACCATTGCTTCTTCAAGAATGGCAATTTCTATGATGAAACTATCATAGAACTGAAGGTGACAGGTAAGGATGAATGACTTTGAAATTTATATGCATCCATGATCTTTACCCCACCTGAAACTGATTACTAAGAAAATTATCAGCTTTTCCTTTTACATATTATATGATTTGGCTAGCAAGTTCAAATTCATGAATTTGATTTTTAATCTGGGAAGAATGGAGGATCAAGAATGAAAATTATATCTGTGTAACCATCAGCTCTATCAGCAAGTACTGTCAGTATATATAAACACAAACTAGAATCCTGGTAAGGCACTGTAGGATAAGTACTGGACTGCTAACCACAAGGTCAATGATTCAGACCTACCATTTGTTCCTTGGAAAACTTATTTAGGGTGACTATAAGTCCAAACAGACTTGACGGCACTGATCAGCAATACACATACAATGTTAAACCTGTAAAGGATAAACAGAATCCTTTTAGGATTTATTGCTATCCTCTCAATTATTCTAACACATTAGTAAAATGACTTTTAAAATTAAAGGTTGTTGTAGTTAGGTGCTGTCAAGTCAATCCCCACTCATAGTGACCAGATGTATAACAGAACACTGCCCTCTCCTGCTAAATCCTCATGATTGTTGTTAAGCTTGAGCCCACTAGCTACTGCCATTGCTTCAATCCATCTTGTTGGGGGCGGGGGGAGTCTTCTTTTTCTCTGACCCTCTACTTTACCAAGCATGATGCCCTTCTCTAGGGATGTCTTCCCTCCTGATAATTATTTCTGAAGTATGAAAGACAAAGTCTCGTCATCCTGGCTTCTGAAAAGTATTCTGGTTTTACGTTTTCCAATATAGATGTGTTTGTTCTTCTGGCAGTTCATGGTACTTTCAATATTCTTCGCAAACACCAGAACTCAAACGCATTAGTTCTTCTATGGTATTTCTTATTAAGTGCTCAACTTTCAAATGCATATGAGGCTATTGAAAATGTCATGGCTTGGGTCAGGTGCACCTTAGTTTCAAACTGTCATCTTTGCTCTTGAACACTTTAAAGAGGTCTTGTGCAGCAGATTTGCCCAGTGCAATACATCTTTTGATTTCTTGACTGCTGCTTCTATGAATGTTACTAGTGGATACAAGCAAAATGAAGTCATTGACAACTTCAATCTTTTCTCCATTTATATGGATGTTATTTATTGGTCCAGTGCTTAGGATTTTTATATTTAAGGTGCAATCCATATTGAAGGCTGTGGACTTTGACCTTCATCAGTAAGTATTTTAAATCCTCTTTGCTTTAAGCAAGCATGGCTATTTCATCAGCCTATGGCAGGGTGTTAATGTGTCTTCCTCCAATCCTGATGCCATGATCTTCTTCATATAATCCAGCTTCTCAGATTATTTGTTCAGCATACAAATTGACTTCTTGTTGTTGTTGTTGTCAGGTGCCATCGAGTCGGAACCGACTCATAGTGACCCCATGCACAGCAGAACGAAACAATGTTCGATCCTGGGCCAACCTCACTATCGCTGCCACACTTGAGTCCATCAATGATGTCACCTGGCTGATCCATCTCGTTGGGGGTCTTCCTCTTTTTCTCTGACCCTCCACCCTACCCAGCATGACATCCTTCTCCAACGATTGTTGGAGTATGGTAAAACAATACAACCCTGTAACATACCTTTCCTGATTTTAAACCATTTATTATCCCCTTGTTCTGTTCAAACCACTGCCTCTTGGTGTATGTACAGGTTCCATAAAAGCACAATTAAGTGTTCCGGAATATTCATTCTCTACAATGTTGTCTGTAGCTTGTCATGATTCTCACAATCAAAAGCCTTTGCATAGTCAATAAAGAACAAATAAACATCCTTCTGGTATTCTCTACTTTCAGTCACAATCCATCTGACATCAGTGATGGTATCTCTTGTTTCACATTCTCGTTTGAATATGGCTTGAACCTCTGGAATTTCCCTGTCAATGTACTTTTGAAGCCATTTTTGAATTATCTTTAGTAAAAATTTACTTGCATAAGATATTAATGATATTATTTGATGATTTCCACCTCTCTTTGGAATGGGCACGAATATAAATCTCTAATAATCAGTTGGCTAGGTAGCTGTCTTCCAAATGTCTTGGTATAAATTAATGTGTGACTCCATTTTTGCATCAGTTTGTTGAATTTCTATTCCATCAATTCCTGGAGGCTTGTTGTTTGCCAGTGCCTTTAATGCACCTTGGACCTCTTCCTATAGTACCATTGGCTCTTGATTATATGGTATCTTTTGAAATGGTTGAACATTGAACATTTCTTTTTGTTACACTGACTCTATGTATATCTTCCATCTTCTTTTGATGCTTTCTTCATCATTCAATATTTTGCCCAAAGAATCCTTCAATCTAGCAAGTCAAGGCTTGAAAAGTGTAAATAGTTACCACATTATGAATGCAATCTGTTCCTAACTGATGGATGAAATCTGTTCCTAATTGTGTCTTTAATAATTTTTTGGTATTTGGACAAGGTACATATGGTTCTTATTTTGCCTTACTTTAAATCAAGAAATTTTAATCAATTATTTCAAAGCAACATGTGAAGCAAGTGAAGGTGATTTTGATTAAAAAAATTGTTGCCCTCACTTTGAAAATTTGCATAACATTAAAAGCAAGTAGGCATTTTGGTCAGGCTGCTAACCTCAAGGTCAGCAGTTCGAAACTACCAGCTGTTGCTCAACAGAAAGATTAGGCTTTCTGCTTCCGTAAAGATTTACAGCCTCAGAAACCCTATGCAGGGTCACTATGAATCAGAACTGACTCCATGGAACATAACCACCACCACCACCACAGGCATTGTCTATAAACTGGACATTCTTAACTGATGGAATGCCTGTGTCTTAATCTTTGCAATAATCTCCTTAATGATAATTCTGATCTCCATTTCTCCCTGACTCAATTCACATACTACTTAGTTCCAGGATCAGCAGTAGACTGCGAACCACAAGGCCCACTGCTCAAACCCATCAGCTGCTCCTTGCAAATCCTATAAAGTATCACTGTGAGTCAGAACCAACACAGTGGCACTTAACAACAATAATTTGCCTAAATCCATTTTTAAAGGATTTTATAATCTTGAGTGCCCTCCAATTTGTATGTATGCCAATATGTAGCATGTAAGTCAAGTACCTCACCCTTGAAGTATTTTAAATGACAAAGAAATAGAAAGGAGATAAGAACTTAAGTAGACTTAAAGCGATTCCTGAGTGTTATTGTGTAAGAGTAGTATTCTAGGTCAATTCACACTTAACATCCTTATTGCATGTTGTTGTTGTCAGATGCCACCAAGTTGGTTCTGACACACAGTGACTCTATGTACAACAAAATGAAACACTATCCAATTCTGGTCCATCCTCACAGCTGTTAGCTTCGAGTCCACTTGTTGCTGTCACTGTGTTATTCCGTCTCTTTGGGGATCTTCCTGTTTTCACTGACCCTGCACTATATCCTTCTCCAGAGGCTGATCCTTCCTAATAACATGTCCAAACTGTGAGAGATTAAGTCTCACCATCCCAGCTTTTAAGGAGCATTCTTGCTGAACTTCTAACACAATTATGTTACCCAGTAGCAACATGTGATTATTTAAATTTGTCAAGATAATTAAAATGAAAATGCATTTCTTCTTGTAATAGTGGCCACATTTCAGATGTCTAATAGTATCAAAAGCCCTGGTGTGACACTGTAGGATAAACACTGGACTGATAACCACAAGGTTAGCAGTTCAAACCCACAGTCACTCTTGAATTGATGTCACGATGAGTCAGAAATAGCTCACTATGAGTGAGAAAACAACACAGCAAGAATGAATACTATCATGTTACAAGTGCAGGTCATATTGACAAATGCAAATATAATATTCCTATAATTGCAGAAAGTTCCACTAGGAAGTGATGCTCTAGAGTAGCATTCTAGTTGTCTACTCATTCTTTCTTTGCCCATACACAGGAAAGTCTTATGTCTCAGACATTGTCCTGAGAAATTTCAAGTATGTGTATTTTTTTCTAATCTGACATCCACTGATTTATTTTGAAAGCAGTAGTATATTGTTTACTGCGTGCAAATACTTGCTGTATTCAAATAATAAATAAATTGAAGTTGAAAACTTATATTTATAAAATTTATTGTTTTCATATAATTTATCATGGTGAGTCAGGATGTCAAAATGATGAAGGTACAAAAACATTAAACCATAAATTTCATTAGGACTGGCATCTTGATTATTTTTGTTCATTGTTATAATTCAAAGACCTAACAAAGTCATCTAGATTTAGTAACTCATCAATGCTGTTGTTGCTGTTAAGTGTCATCGAGTCAGTTCAGACCCATAGCGACCCTGTATATGGTTTCTGAGGAGCGGCTGGTGAGCTTGAATTGCTGACCTTGCAGTTCAAACTGACACTGTAGTCCAGCACATTAACCCACAGCACCACAATAGGACTCATCAATAATATGTACATCAATAAATACACTCAGGTAAACTGACAAATAAGTGAAAGAATCAGGGCATATGGAGAATTCATTTCCCCATTTATCTTATGTAGAGTCATATTGTTAATTTGTATACCATAGCCTTCAGTCTGACTTCTCCTTTTTTTTTTTTCCTTTGAGTACCTTGTCATGACACAAAGCTTGGTTAATAATATATTTAAGGGCACAGGGATTGGGTGGGAGCTTAGTTTCTTGCCTTAAACTATAAATACAAGGTTTTCTCTTTCTTTCCAACCAGCTACAAACTTAGATATACAGATTGTTGTGCATCCTCCTAATATCAAAGGGGTATTGGTGGAATGTAATTCAGAAGGCTGGTTCCCACAGCCTCTGATGAGTTGGAGAAACAACAGAGGAGAGATAATGCCATCTGTATTCACATCCTACTCGATGGATAGTGCCAAATTGTTCAGCATGAAGATGACCCTCCTCCTTAAAGATAAATCTTATAGAAATGTCACGTGTTGTCTTCAAAACCCATTAACTGGTCAAGAGGAAAGAGTCAGCATTGTCCTGTCAGGTGAGGTCTGTTTGTTCATTCTTCAAATGTCAGTCAATGTTATGAAATGTATAAGCTAAAGAAAAAAAAATCAATATGCTTTCTTCTCTTGGTTTCCAGGACCTTATTTTCTCTGGGCTTTACTGATTATCTTGCTGTTTTCTTTCTTATTGTGTTTTAATAATTCATCATGTTTACTTTACCTTTTTTATGTTGGAATTCCTTTCTTAGAGCATCATCTTCAAATCTTTTCTCTCACTTATGACTGCATCCCATCTTATGGTTTTAAGTATAAGCAATATGATGATAATGGTGTTTTGTTAAGTACTGTTGAGTCAGTTATGATTCATAACAACCCTGTATAGGGTTTACACAGCTGGTGGGTTTGAACCACTGGCCTTACCATTAGAAGTCCAGTGGTTATCCTACAGTGAGCGGCACACCAGGACTCCATAATACAATGATGGCTCCTCAAATTACACTGCTTGCCCTAAACGCTCTCTCAAACTGTCTCCTCATTTCAAGACTCATTGTTCGTACTTAGAAGTTCGGTAGGTATCCCAAACCAAACATGCCAAAAGCCAAACTCCTCATTAATTCCTACTTTGCTTTTTTTACTGCCTTCCCATGCCTCTTTATATTTTCAGTTTTTCAAGATAAAAAACCTTGGAGTCATCTTGACTCTCATTTTTTAAATCATCTTCAATATCACATCTGTGTAGAAAAAATGTGTGAATAATAGCTGCACTTCAAAATAGATCCAGAGCGTCACCACTTTCTCATCACTTTGTATTTGCATCTCAGTTCTGAGATATTATCACACATGATATACATTTTAGCAATAGCACCCTCAAACTTTTCCCTAGTTGTATTCTTATCCATTAGGCATATTCTCAACATATAGATTAAATGACCCATTTAAAAATGAGTCATAATATATCACCCCTCTGTTTAAACCCTGCAATGACTCTCATTTTATTCAGAGTAAAATCCCTCACATTCCTTCAATGAGAGTCTTCATTACCTAGCTGATTTCATTTCCTAATGCTCTCCTCTGTTCACTGAAGTCCAGTCACAGATACATCCTTGCTATTTCCTAGCCAAGCAAGATATGCCCCTGTCTTGGGTCTTTGCATAACCAGTTTCCTAGCATGCTCTTAATTGCATTAAATTCCCTCATCACCTTTAAGTCTTTACTCAAATTTCAGTTTCGTAAGAAGGACTACCCTAACTAACTTGAAAATGCAAACTTTTCCCCACTTCCTGGGATTCCTAAAACTCCTTACCCTGCTTTATTTATCTATCTTTAAACAATACGAACAGTTTTTTCCAACTAAATAAAAGATCGTTGGTGACACAATGTGCTAAACATTTGGACTGATAACTTTAAGGTTAGTTGTTTGAACCCACAAGCTGCTCCATGAGAGAAAGATGAGAAAGTCACTGTGAGTCAGAATTGACTGAATGGCATTGGGTTTGTTTGCTGGGATTTTTTTGTGTTTTGTTTTAACCAAGAGCACTGGTGTGATGTTGTAAGATGAGCGCTGAACTTCCCACCCACCAGCCATTCCTCAAAAGTCCTATACAAGATAGATATGAGTTAGAACTGACTCCACTGCACTTAACAACCACAACAACATGTATTTCATTTATTATTTATTATAACAAGTCTATCTTCCCTTCTAAAATATGGACATAGAAACTGTTTTTAGTTTTATATACCTCAATGGTTGTACCCCAGCTGTTTCAAATACTGTATGGTTAAGTTGATATCTCTTAATATAAATAATTGATAAATAATTGATATTTGAATGATTCAAATAAAGCCAAATGAGTGCCTTATAAACTGCTAAGTAAATATGTATGCATTAGAGTTTGTGTGGTGGTGGTGGTTATGTGCCGTGAAGTCGGTTCCAACTCATAGTGACCCTGTACAGGGTTTCCAAGGCTGTAAATCTTTACAGGAGCAGACAGCCTCATCTTTCTCCCATAGAACAGCTGGTAGTTTCGAACTGCCGACCTTGAGGTTAGCAGCCCGATTCATAACCACTACGCTATCAGAGTTACTTAGAGTTTGTGGATGCCCATGAAATTAATGGTAGAGGCAGATGCTGAGAGCAATTCTAATATTAAGATGACTATAATTTAAAAGTTCCCCTAACCAGTTTAGTAATTTAATACAGTCAGAATATTTTTTAATTTTTCTGAAAGAAACCAAACTTCACATTATGGTTATATTAGAAACAGCAAGATAATCCCATAAAATAAACTATTGCAAGGGGTAAAGGAAAACTGAACTGTCCACTGCCTGCTCCCAGAGTTCACAAAACAGCACACATATGTGTGTACATTTGTGCACATGTGTGCACACAGACACAAAGAGAGAAGAGACAAAATGTTTGTTAATTTATTTACAAGTTCAATAAATAACAAAATAACAAGAGGTATACAAGGGTAGCCATCTGGGTATTATGCTGTAGGATAAGCACTGGACTGCAAAGTTGGTTTGAATCTTAAGGTTGGTGGTACAATCTCTCCAGCCACTCCTTAGCAACCATATACACGTCACTTATGAGTTGGAATCTATTCAAATGAGCTTAACAACAACAACAACAATAAAAGAGTAAGAAAGTTGGTTAAAAACAAACAAACAAGAATGACTACTAGGGTTTAAGTTTATGCATGGTCAGGGTTATTCCACACAAAACATGATTCATTATGCCTCAGTAATTGGCGAATGAGTGTAGACAAGTTCACTCAGTAAAACACTTGTCTTAGTCTAATTATGAGTCCTGGTGTGGCACTGTAGGATAAGCACTGGATTGCAAGATTGGTTGAGCCACAGTCAGCGGTTCAAATTCACCGCTGTTCCTCAGAAATCCCATACAGGGTTGCTATGGGTCGGAATTGCCTTGATGGCACTTAACAACAAGTCTTATTGTTGTTGTTGTTAAGTGCTGTCGAGTCGGTTCAGACCCATAAGGACCCTGTTTAAGGTTTCCAAGGAGCAGCTGGTGAGCTTGAATTACCGATCTTGCAGTTCAAATGGCTGCAGTCTGGTGCATTAGCCCACGGCACCACACCAGGACTCATTATGGTCATGGCTGTGTGCCGTGGAGTCGGTTCTGACTCATAGCGACCCTGTACAGGGTTTCTGAGGCTGTAAATCTTTACGGGAGCAGAAAGCTATAGGGTGCCTTAAAAATGACTAATCAAATCAGTGGCTTCTTAGTATATATTTACTGTACCAATCGAATTCTAGGCAGAGAGGTCAGCTGGTTACAGCAACTATTCTGGGATCCAAAAGGGTAATCTTAATAGAAATTTATGCATGAAAAAGAAGGCAAAGGTAATTTAAAAGATAGGAAAAAGATGAAAATGGATGTTTAAGATTCTGAAACACGCTGTTCAACAGAGAATAGTTAAAATGAATGAAAAAACTGATGAAATGAACAGAAAATGTCAGTGGGTAGCTTGAGAAGACAAAGTAAAATATCACAATGAAATGTGTGAAGACCCAGAGTTGGAAAACCGAAAGAGAAGAATAGGTCAGCACTACTCAAGATGATGTTGGTGGTTATGTGCCATGGAGTCGGTTCCAACTCATAGCTATCCTGCACAGGGTTTCCGAGGCTATAAATATTTACCGGAGCAGAAAACCTCATCTTTCTCCCTCAGAACAGCAGAAGTTTCAAACTGCTGACCTTGAGGTTCGCAGCCTGATTCGTAACCACTACGCTACTCAAGATGCTATGGGCAAAATAGTGAATGATACAGGAAGCATCTAAAGAAGATACAAAGGGGCAGGAGTGGGGGAGTAGATGGAAGGAATACACAGAATCAATGTATCAATTTTCAAGCATTCCAAGAGGTAGCATATGATCAAAAATCAGTGGTATTAAAGAAAGAAATTCAAGCTGCACTTCCGTTAGTGAAGAACAAAGCCCCAGGAATCAAATGAATGCAAATTGAAATGTTTGCACTGAAGCAGTACTGGAAGCACTCATTCATTTATGCCAAGAAATTTGGAAGACAGCTACCTGGCCAACCAACTAAAGAGATCCATATCTGTACCCATTCCAAAAAAAGGTGATCCAATGAAATATAGAAATCACTGAACAACTTCATAAATATCATATGAAAGTGATATTTTACTGAAGATAATTAAATTATTGTAGCAGTACATTACACTGACTGGGAGCTGCCAAATTCAAGCCAGATTCAGAAGAGGATATTTAACAAAGGCTATCACTATTGATGTCAGTTGAATCTTGGCTGAAAGCAGAGAATACCAGAAAGATTTTTACTTGTGTTCTATTAACTATGCAAAGGCATTCAACTGTGTGGTTTATAATAAACTATGGATAACATTCTGAAAAATAAGAAATCCAGAGCCTTTAATTGTACTCCTGTTGAACATGTACATAGACTAAGAGGCAGTCTTTTTACAGAAGAAGGGAATAGTGTGTGACTTAGAATTAGGAAAGATGTGCATTGAGGTTGTATTCTTTCACTATACTTATTCAATCTGTATGCTGAGTAAATAATCCAAGAAGGTGAAATATATGAAGAAGAGCACAGCATTAGGATTGGAGGAAAGCTCATTAACAATCTGTGATATGCAGATGATATAACATTGCTTGCTGAAAGCAAAGAGGGATTGAAGCGTTTATAGACTGTTGTCTTTGATATGGATTCCAGTTCAATATAAAGAAAGCAAAAAATCCTACAATTGGATCAAGAAACAACATCATGATAACATAGAAAAGACTGACATTGTCAGAGACTTCCTTTTGCTTGGATACACAATCAACACTCATAGAAACAGTAATTTAAAAAATCAAATATTGCCGTGGGCAAACCTGCTGCAAAAGACCTCTTTAAAGTGTTAAAGAGGTAAGATATCACTTTGTGGACTTAGGTATTTTCAACTGCTTCCTACGTATGTGAATGCTGGACAATGAACAAGGAAGACCAGAGAAGGATTGATACAACTGAATTATGGTGTTGACAAAGAATAT